GCCCCTGGCTTTCCTGTGCCCAGTTCTGAGGTGGAAAGGGGGCATAAGACAGAGCAAGCTCCTTCGTAAAGAGGAGACTCATTTTTAAAGTTACGAAGCTTCTTATTTCCTAAGCTGCAGGTGGGGTCCCTTATTTCTGGATATTTGGTGTGCACACCTCCTTCTTACAGAGAAGAGTCTCCTGTAGAAGCCCCTCCGTCCAGGGGGAGAGGCACTGAGGGTGTCTGCGTGGGAGTGAGCCAGGGAGTGTCACGGGAACAGCAGCCCCCTACACACACACTCCCAGACCCAGGTCTGGTCACCTGGATTTGCTTTGGTAGTTCTGTGACTTGGACGGGCTGGTCCCTCTCTGGTCCTCTTGTCTCCTCATCTGTGAGAAGGGGGCACAGTTGCCAGGACTGAGTAAGGAGGCCAGGAGAAAGGGCATGCAAGGCCCAGCATACAGAAGGTTCTCAACCAAGGAGTTGGGAGGAGGGTGGGGACTGAAGCCGTTCTAAAAGTGGCAGGGGTGAAGGCAAGGGGTCTGGCAGGGTGACGTGACTGGGCGGAGTCAGCGTTCCTTCCGTGACAGTCCCCACCCCTGCCCTCACTTGGGTGTCCTCATGGAGGCTCCAGCCTGTCTGCCGCCGGCAGCCTCTAATGGGACTCAGGTTCGTTATTCACTTCCTCAGACTCTGACTCTGCCGCAGGCTGGGAAAGCCACACTGACTGGGGAGGACAGGGGGTGAACAGTTCCTGGCACTCAGGTCACACCCCGGCTGGATGGCTGTCCCAGTGCTGATGGCAGACCCTGTTTCACAGACGAGGGAAATGGAGGCTCGGGATGCCAACCTGGTGTCCTTTAATTTCTGACAGAGGTGGCCTTTCTGGTTCAGCAGCCCCCCCTATGCCTGCCTGTCCCCCGCCTTGGGGCCAGGTGGAGAGAGACAGCAGCCAGTAGTGTGAGGGGCCAAGGGAACAGGCATTCGCGTGTGTATCAGGCCGTGGACACTCACTCCAGCCCCGCCAGCCCTGAGAGGCACTGGAGCCGGGGGAGCATGCAGGCTCAAGGTGACAGGAGCAAGCCCGGCCATCTCCATGATGGTGTGGCACCCACAGGGCCCAGGCTGGACTTGCCCGGCTCTGGCAGCACCCAGATTAGGCGGGCAAAGGGTGCCCCCTGCACCCCCCCCACCCCTGTCTCGCCCTCTGCACCCTGAGATAGGTCTGTTCTCCTGACCCTTCTGTGTGTGGAAGGTCAGCAGATTGTGGGAACTAAGGGTCATCTGCTCCATTTGCATTTATGCTCATGGGGGATCCTGCCCATCCTGCAGGCCAGGTAGATGCCAGGTCACCACCGTCTTTCGCCAGGGTTGCCCCAGCCTCTCTCAGGCCTCAGCATCACCCCTGCAGGTCCAATCCCTCCCACATCAGCCGAGCAGTGTGGGCTGGGCCTTCTGCCCGTGTGGCACAGCTCCCTGCAGGCCACTCACTGCGTCCGGACTTGAACGTGGTGGCGGAGCAGGTGAGGCTCAAGACCCTCCACGGCTTCCTTTGCCGTGGTTTCACGGCCCACAGACAGCCACAGTCCAAAGATACTAAAAGGAAATACTCAGACGTAAACAAGTTTACGAGTTTTACGTAGCATTCATTACAGTGTATTGTTAGCATTGCTCTATTTTATTGTTATTTATTGTTGATCTCTTGCCGTGCCTAGTTTATAAATTGAACTCATAGATATGAATATATAGAAAAAAAACAGTATAATTGGGGTTCCATATCATTCGTGGTTTCAGACACCCATAGGGGGTCTTAGAACATGTCCCCTAGGATGAGGGAAGATACGGTAATGAAGCAGGGGTAGGGCAGACTCCAGATTCTCTTAGCTTTGAGGAACCCCTGGAATGTGCTGGGACTCCCTACACACCTCCTTGGTTGTGCAGAGACCAGCCCCTGCCACAGAAGCAGGGTGCCAGGGACATTGCTCAATTGAGTGACACTGATGGCTATGCAGGGAGCTCACCACAGGGTCCCCCTTAGCCTTAAGGCTGGTGGGGCCAGTGCTTAGCAGCCCCCGTGGTCCTGGGGCCTCGGTTTCCCCAGGCTGTTTCCCAGTGTGCACAATGACGGCATCAGACCGGGTGCCAGGTGTGTGTGAGTCACAGGCACTTGGGTGCCTCACTGAGGCTGAGTGCGGATGGGGGGGCGTGGCTATTTTTTGCTTTGCTCTCCATTGCACTTAAGTCACATTTTCCTATCCTCTGATCCAAGCTCTAAAAGCATTTTGTGGTATAAAATCTCCCATCATCTGATCCACTCCACCAAAATAAAACCAGCTCCCTGCCGTCACCTTCCCTTCAGAGAGCTCCTGCGTCATGCTTGGAGGCTGGCAGGGAGTGGCCTTGCCGCTTAAAGACACTCAGCATAATCCCCCAGCGTCCCCAGCCTCTTCACTCCCTGGGGGGCTGCTCCAGTTTCCTGGGGCTGTTATTCCTGGAATGCCAGCTGCCCCACTTACCAGCCATCCGCACAGACCTCCTCTGTCTGTCCCGGGCCCTGTAAGCCTCTGCTTAGCTCATCTCACGGAAATATCACTTAAAAAATAAACGCAGCTCAATTTACCCTTCCCTCTCACTGTGGCTGGCTCCAGCCTCCCCCACTTGGCACCAATGCATCTATTAAGTGCTGCCGTCTCTTGGAGCCCCGCAGGATTGCATGTCAGTCACTGGCCACCCCCTCAGCGCCCCCCGCCCCCAGACTCCAACATAGCCTTCTTCTGAGATCTATGGTCATTTAAATGCCATTTTATATGGCATGGGGAGAAGAGTGGGGGCTTGGGAGGCAGACAGACATGCTGTGTGACCTTGGACAAGCTGTTTTCCCCGCTCTGAGCCCCATGGGTACAGCAGTAAAGAGCCCCTCCCTCAGGGGGCTCTAGTGCTCCTGCTGCCCTGTGGATGGGTGGCATTGGTACTTCTGAATGGCATGAAGTGGGTACTGAAGGGAAAAGACGTTTTCTTGCAAGGCAGAGGTGGCAGGACACACCTAAGTACTGGGGAGAATGAGGCAGGAGGATCACAAGGTCAAGGCCAGCCTGAGAATGTTAGGGAGCGGTATCCGAGGTAGGAGGATTGGAGTGGGGCTCAGTGTGGAGAGCCCCGGGTCCACCCCGTGCTTCAGCCTGCAGACCTTCTGTGACCTTCTCTTGCCGTCTGTCATCTGTGTTTCAGTTCCTCCAAGTCATGAGAAAGCAATTTTTTAGACCGGGAAACCTTCAGCTGGGAGTGTTGATGGTAGAATGAACGTGTGTTTAGCACACACAGATGCTCCTCAACCCATGATGGGGGCATGTCCCAGTAAACCCACTGTAGGTTGAAAATACCAAATCAAAGATACACTTAATAGCTGGGCGTGGTGGTGCACACGTGTGGTCCCAGTGACTTGGGAGGCTGAGGCAGGAGGATTGCAGGTTCAAGGTCAGCCTGGGCAACTTAGCGAGACCCTATCTTAAAATAAAAAAAAATAAAAAAGGTCGGAAGTGTAGTTCAGTGATAGAAAACCTCTGGGCTCAATCCATAGTGCCAAAAAAGAAAGAAAACTTACATTTAATGCCTGTAACCCACCCAACACCATAACTTAGCCCAGCCTACTCAGAACACCCCGTTAGCCTGCCGTGGGCTATGCATCCCACAGGCTATTTTATGCTGTAGTGCTGGACTGTCGTGAAATTGCTGCAGACCCCGCTGAAAGGCCAGCAGCATGCTTGCACGGACACACTTTCACAGCGTGAGGAGGTCCGTCCACCCTACATTGAGTATTCAGCAGGTGGGGCTTTGCATGTCTGCGATGCAGGCGGATGTCACTCTCGGAGCACAGGCTCCCACACTTTGAACCCCAGCCACCTGCAGTGGCATTGCACAGCTGCTCCAGGGTCTCTGTGCCTCTGTACAGTGGGTCCAGCATCCTAGGGGTGACCTGGGGCTTCCCTGAGGTCTGGGCCTGCCTGGTACAGAGAAGGCACCGTCAGCGTCACCTGCTCTGCCATCGTCTTCACGATGTGCCAGCAAGTTAGGGAGTGCACACCTACAGGCTTCGTCCCTCGTCACCCCTTCTACCGCTGCTCTCTACCTGGGGACGTTTGACCTCCAGGGGACATCAGGCAATATTTGGAGACATTTTGATTGTCACAACAAGGGGGAGAATGTAGTCTGGGCGTCACATGTGGAGAGGTCAGGGACGCTGCTGAACACCCTCCAGGGCACTGGACAGCCCCCCACCGTGATGAGCCAACTGCTGGCAAATGCCAGGGGCTGTGAATGACGGGTCCTGATGTCAGCTCTTCCGGAACCCCATCAGCCTCTCCCTGCCTTGCCATGCCTGCCCTGGGTGGGCTTATTGGGTGGTTGTTTGTCCAGTACCCCCCAACTGAGATGGCCCAGGCTTCCAAGAGTGTGAGGTTTGTTTCCAGCCCCAGCCCCCCCCAGGCCAGGCTACCGACAGCCCACCCCATGTCGCAGACCCAGGCTCAGGTCCCAGGATTGCCACCTCCTGGTTGTGTCAGACCTTGGACCAGTGGCACTGCCTTTCAGACCCGCCATCCTTCATCTGAAACTGGGATTATAAATAACCAGTCAATGTGGAGTGGCTGTTGGGAGGACAGGCTCCCGGGTGCAGGCACACCTGTGTTCAGGTCACAGCTCTGCTCCCTAGTGAACTGGGGGTGACCTCGCTGACCCTCAGTTTCCTCGCCTGTGAAATGGGCCTAATAATTCCTCACAATGGAATTATTAAGGCCTTAATCCCTGTGGGAATTAAGGGAGCTGATGTTGGCGAGCATTGCTTTCGTGATTAACATGAAATTCGCCATCTAACAAGTGGTTTTCTCTCTGAGCCCTGAGTACTCTGGACTCTGTTGGTGTCCACACAGCAAGTACGAGTGTTGCAGAGCTTGTGATGCGGGAGGGTCTGGCTGGCGCTCCCTCCAGCCCTGGCCTCTGACGCATGCACACCCCCTCTTTCAGATCTGCGCCATCATTGGTGGGACCTTCACTGTGGCGGGCATCCTGGACTCCTGCATCTTCACAGCCTCCGAGGCCTGGAAGAAGATCCAGCTGGGCAAGATGCATTGACACCCTCCAAGGACCCAGGGAGGCTGCCCTGCCCTGCTCCGTCGCCCTGGCTCCTGTGGCCCTCTCCCGGCCCTGTCTGGCTTCCTCCCAGCCTGCGCGTGGGAGGCGGGGAGGCGAGAGTGGCTCGAGGTCCCTCAGCTACCTCTTTCCCCGTGTTTCATTTTAGATAAATTACACTGCCTAGAGTCGTGGTGTTCCTTTCCTGGGGAGCCCCAAGACCAGAGTCAGGCAAGGGGATGCTTTAAGATGTTGGGATCCCCTCCTGGGAGGGCTGTGGCCCCTTGCTTCCGAGAGAACAGTCCAGCATCCCCTGGCCAGCTGCCATCCAGGCTTTGACAATCTTGCAGCCCCGCCATGTGGACACACTGATCGCCTGGTGTCTCTCTGGGCAGCTATGGTAGGCTCTCAGCCTTGGGACCAGCCTGCCCACAGGCCCTCCCACCTGGCGCCGTCCACCCAGAACGGCACTTTCCAGGCCAGCCCCTGAGATTTGGCGCTGTAGCTGGAACTCTCCCTTCTGCCCTGTCCCTCCTGCCCCAACTGGAGCCCAGGCTCAGGTCCTTGTCCCCACCCCTGTCCTGTTCTTCCAAGAAGCAGATGCCCGTTTGTTTGGCAGCAGCCAGCGGTGGGGTCTCAGATCTGCCCACTGGTCACAGGAGGGTCACAGATTTCCCTTCCTCTCCTGTCCTTGTCCCTCTGAACCTCCCACCATTGTGCCTCGGCCTCTGTGCTGTGTGGCAAGGGCATTTCTTGGTGGAGGGGCTGGTTCCCCCTGCCAGGCGCCCCCACTGTCCTGTTGGAATCTGCAGTGGTGGGGTGGGGTCTCATGTGGGAAGTTGCCCTTGAAGCGCAGATAGTCATGGTTTACATACTGTCCAGACAGAAGCATCCTTCCTGCAACCCTCAGAGGAGGACATCTTGGCCTCTCCCAGACAGCCACCTCTGGCCCCAAGGCCTTAGCTGGGGGAGCAAAGCAAACCAGCCTGTCTCCGCCCTGCAGGCCTCCACCTGGGGTGCCCGAGAGTCCCAGGACTTGGACCTCTTCAGCGTGGTTCTGGCCCACTTGCCATCAGCTGCCCACACCCTAATATGTTCCTAGCCCCTGGGGTTGCCCAGTGTCCCCCAACTCCTTCTGAGGTGGGTCCCCAATCCATGATCCCCCTCATCCTTCCCTTTGGGTCCTGAGAGGGAAGGCCAGTGGTCCACACATGAATTCCACCCAGGGAATTCTAGCTATGCCCTCCAACCCACAGAGCCCCGCCTGTTTCCCAGTTTGTATGGAGATTGTTTGCATACTTTTGTAATGAATGGGGAGTTTCCAGTAGAAAGATTTTTTAAATTATCTATATGGATAGCTCAAGTCTCTGCCATTTGTAATTTTTGGCTCCGAATTCCAATGAGCAAAGTTTCCCCTTTTGCATATGAGTTGATGTGTGTGTAAGCTGCCTTTGGTTATTTCTGTTTTCTGTGGCCACTTGGATGGATTTTTTTTTTAATCATTCCATTCCCAGTTATGGAAAGGAATCCCTTTGGTGTATGAATCCCGGAGCCCCATGGAGGCTGGTAGGGTGGGGCGGGTGGGAGATGTGAGCCCACGTTTATGCGTTTTTTTAAAAAACTCTGAGCACATGGGGGACATCAGTTTCCTATGGAAGGTCGGTTTCCTCTGACTTGTTATTCTTATAAACAAAATCTCAAGGGAAAAAAAAATGTTTTCTTTCCCCACTCATAGCGTTCAAATAGATTATTAAAAGGCTGATTTTCAGAAGTATTGCTGTGGGATTCTTCTCTCTTTTTTTTTTTAAACATACATTTAGTGGTAGATGGACATGATACCTTTCCTTCACTTATTTATTTTCATGTGGTGCTGAGGATGGAACCTAGGGCCTCACATTCTGCCCCAGACCCAGCCAGACCTGCTGAGGGATTCTTTCTGCCCTGGCTGTGGCTGGGGAGGCCGGAGGCTAAAAGCAGGCAGAATGGAATTTCATTTCAGAGAGCAGAGTCGGAAAGGCTGAAAAGAAGATCTTGGGGGACCAAGAGAAGCACCTAGAAGACAGGGACCACTCGCCTCCCGGTCGTCTCTGCTTGGAAGAGCTGTAGAAAAGGGGCTCATGGTGATCAAGTCTGACCACTGGCACCCCAGTTCTATTAATGGGACGATCATGACATCACAGAGGGTTCACAGGCCAAGCATCATCAGCTGGGTCAGACACCTACAGACCTGACGCTGGCCAGTTGTGTTAAAGTATTTATCCAAAAAAGAATGTCTCCTGCTCAGTCTTAAGCACTAGCGCCTCTTTTTTTTTGGAGGGGGTCAGTTTGGGGGTGGAGCTCCGGGCCTCTGGCACACCAGGCAAGCACTGTACTCCAAGTTACACCAGCCCCCAGCTCCACTTGTGTACAGCTAAACACTGCAGTTGTGTTCTGTGCTGGACATTCTGCTGCAAGACAATAAAACAGGTGGGGCATGGTGGCCTGCGCTTATGATCCCAGCCGCTCAGGAGGCTGAGGCAGGAGGGCCACAAGTTCAAAGCCAGCCTCAGCAACTTAGCGGAGGCCCTAAGCAACTCAACGAGACCCTGTCTCTAAATAAAATATAAAAAAGGGCTGAGAATGTGGCTCAGCACCCCTGGGTTCAATCCCTGGTACCAAAAAAAAA